ATGGTGTGCAATCTGCGAGGAAAGTAGAGAAAAGAAGAGTGAACGGTTGAAACAATATACATATATGAAGTTTTGGAAAAAAAAACTATGCAATATGACGTACGATTGAGGTTGGAAAGGATTTGTGATGTGAGTAGCAACAAAGTTACGGTCCGTATATATGGGTTTTTTTCCAAAAAATGTTTTGACCTGAATTTTGCCTTCTCGTATTTGATGATACACTTGTTTCTCCTGCCATGATTTTGTCGTTATGGCCATGTATACCTAATTGAAGGTAAGCTGTCTCACGGAGGCAAAACCTTCTTTTTGTCGATACAAATCCCAGTAAAGTCATGACCAGTTCCAGTTTGATTTGTTCAACCGAAACTGAATGAATATTAATGGAGTTGCATTGTCACTTCCATGCTTTCGAGTAAAAGTTTCGAACATGTGGACTTTTCTCTGGCTGCTCTTTGCTTACTTTTGATGGCAGTGCCTTCTTCAGATCTCCTCAAATCCCTTTCTTAATATTGTTCAACAACAAAACGGTCCATGATGATTCCTTGAATCTTGAAGTGATACTACACTTCTTCTCCAAGCTACTGTTATGGCTTTTACCAAAGAAGTTGATACATGTCTTCTTTTACAGTGAGATGCGGAGTTTCTCCTAAGTCTTTACTTCTTTGTTATGAATATTTTCTGATAATATCTGAACCTTGAAGCGTTGAGGTTCACACCAAATACCGATAAGTTCATGAATCACAAAATTAAACGCAAGCAGAGAATGCTCACAAGTGTATTGTTACAACAGATTAATTAACCAATAAATTAACAATTAAGAATATGAATTTTCAAATCCACCAACAAATGTAACAAGATTAAACACCTTTGTGTGATTAAGCTTTTATATAATAAAAAAGGTGAAACATCTCTTTTAAGCAAAGTTGGGTACTTAGCATCAAGAAACTCTCTGAGAGTACGAGCAACTTTGTGACCACGTACCCATGAGTTCTGCTAATTTCTCCACAGGCAAAGATGCGAGCTCAGAAACTCTTACATTTCTCCATTATCGATCTGTAGTTTGCGTCTGATACTCTAGGAAGCCTTCTCAAAAACTATACTACAGATGTGTTATAGTTCTCGGCTCTGTTCAAATGATTAGTCAGCTAGAAGAAACTTCTCATGAACGCTAACGATGAACTCCAAGCAAATAGTGAAAGTCCGGCTTGTGGATAGATCTATATGTTAGTGTGTGCAATTAGTATGTATGAGCATAAACTAAGAACACACATAGATTTTTCATGAGGTTTGGTTTCTCTACATCCCCGGGACCAAGTCCAGAATCAATCCACTAGAAAAGGCCGCAACCTACAATTGCTATATGGCATCCACATGACATGGACAAACTATGAAGACATGTATCAAGCACGCATGCTTGACAACCAACCAGCAACACCGATGCATCACAGTACAACGGTTGCAATTTTCATAGAAAACCACCAACAATTCTACAAATCATTTATGATGGAACGACGGCCACACACCTGTGTGCATCTCTCAATCGAATCCTAGGCACGTACCTTTTTGTCTACGCCTCTTGGCTCTTATACAAAGACCACAAAACCTTAATTGGCTTCTCACCCTCTTTTATAATTGGCTTTCTAATTCCAAGAGAAGCCCAACTTCACTTTCACGTCAGCTCTTTTGCCATGTCACTTAAATCCTCTTGTTGGAACATGTCTTTTGATGCTCCAGAAACCTCTCTTTCAAATAGGGTCGAGTATGAAGCCAATCTCAACGAGCTCTCGAAAAGACGGTTCATAAAATGAAGATGTTAGAGGATCTTTAGAAATCCAAGCATCTAGAGAATAAGAAGAGGCAAGAAGAGAATGTTAATGCTGATTTAACCGAGGAGATCACAAGGCTGAAGGATGAGATTGAGATATTGAGACTTGACTTGGAAGAAACGAGAAGATCGCGGATTGAAAGCGAGGTGATGTTTGTCCTTTATCCGGTTTTATAAGATTAAACCTAGGTAGCACTAATTCGAATGTAGAATAGTGAGGTTCGTTCAAAKGGACCAGCAATACACTCTAATCTTTTGAGATACAATTTCAGCTAAGCGATCAAGTRTTTTTAAGTTGTCACGATTAGAAAGCAAATAAAAGTAATATTCGGTTTWAAACAATAGAAATAAAGAGTTAGGTCAAGGGATATCTCAGGGATTAGGATATCAAAACCAAGCAATTATTCAGGTTATCAAGTTATGAACCAATCTAGAACTCAACCATAGATTCAAGAAGACTCACTGTCGTGGCATCAACTACTTCAACAAACAATCTAACACCCTAAACTGTCGTTTGAGGTTACAAAGAATGAAGAGCATTAAACGATTAGGGTCGATTTGTTCACGAGTTGCTTTAACTTCAACTTTCGTTGGCTAAAGACAACTC